ATAGTGACACCGTAAAAGGCTGTGTGGTCAAAACAGACTTCCACTGAAATAAACGAAGATACTTTAGTTTGTTGTTAAGTGCTGTCAAGTCGGTTCTGACTCATAGCTGCCCTGTATAAAGTTTCTGTGCCTTTTTAAGTCTTTACAGGAGCAGAAAATCTCATTTTTCTCTTGCAGAGCAGCTGGTGGCTTGAACCACTAATCTTGTGGTTCACAGTCCAGTGCTTATCACATGGAGTCATCGTGCTCCCAGAATGTTTATAGCAGCTTTAAAAAACAAAAATCCCACAAAAACTGTGAAACCCAATACCTATCAAAAGGAAATCATCAAGCAAATTGTGGTGTATAGTCCTACAGTGTTTCCTTCTGTTGCACCTGTTGAAATTCACTCTATGATACCAAATGATAGTCATACAATAGAATGCTGTTGTTGTTGTCTCGTGTTGTCAAGCAGGCTTGGGTTCTATAACCCTCTGCACAACAGAAGGAACACTATTCAGTCCAGAACCGTTCTCCTAATTATTGTTAAATTTAAGCCCGTTGCTGCTGCCACTGTGTCGATCCATCTCATTGGTCTTCCTCTTTCTTGTTGACCCTCTACTTTATCAAGCATGATGTGCTTTTCCAGGTATTGGTCTTTCATGACAACATGTCCAAAATATGGGAGACAAAGTCTCACCATCCTGGCTTCCAAGGAGCATTCAGGTAGTACAATCTTCTTCCAAGACAGATTTGTTTGTTCTTCTGGAAGTCCATGGTTGTTGTTAAGTGCCGTCGAATTTGTTCTGACTCAGAGTGACCATATATATATATAGGGTTTCCAAGGAGCAGTTGGTGAGTTTGAACTTCCAACCTTGCAGTTGCTAATCTATCAGGGCCACACCAGCACTCTAGGAAGTCCATGTACTACCAACATTCTTCACCAACACTACGATTCTAATGCATCAATTCTTCAGTCTTCCCTATTTCTTGTCTAGTTTTCACATGCATATGAGGTCATTGAAAATACCGTGGCTTGGGTCAGGAGCATCTTAATCCTCAAAGTGACATTTTTGCTCTATAACACTTTAAAGAGGTTTTATGCAGCAGATGTGCTCAATGCAATGCATTGTTTGATTTCTTGACTCACAGTGACTCTGCATAGGGGTTCCAAGGAGTGGCTGGTGGGTTTGAACTGCTGGCCTTGAGGTTAGCTGCTGCCTCCATGAACATTGATTGTGGATCCAAGTAAAATTAAATACTTGACAACTTCAACGTTTTCTCCATTTATCAAGATATTTATTGGCTCAGCTGTGAAGGTTTGTGTTTTCTTTACCTTGACTTGTAATTCTTACTGTAGTCTGATCTTTGTCAGTAAGTGATTCAAGTCCTTTTTGCTTTAAGCAAGTATGATTGTATAATCATATCACAGGTTGTTAATGAGTCCTCCTCCAATCCTGATGCCACACTTTCTTCTTTATATAGTACAGTTTATCAAATTATTTGCTCAGCGTAAAAATGGAAGAAATATGATAAAAGTATACAACCCCAATGCACACCTTTCTTGATTTTAGACCATACAGCATCCCCTTGTTCTGTTAAAAAAAACAACTGCTTCTTGATCTATGTATAGGTTTCCAATAAGCACAATTAAGTGCTCTGGAATTCCCATTCTTCCCAACATTATCCAAAGTTTGTTATGATTCACAAAGTCAAATGCATTTTGCATAGTCAATAAAGCACAAGTCAGCATCTTTCCGGTATTCTCCGCTTTAAGCCAAGATCTATCTGATAGTTTTCCTAGAACCATGTGCCGTACATTCCACGTTCTGATTATTAACAAATGTTTGCAATTGTTTCTTCTTATTTTGATTCATGGCCCACTAGCAAATGAAGTTCCTGAAAGGTTTGCTCCATCCACATTGTTAAGGTTGACTTTAAGGAGGCAGCTTTTCCCCAGTTGTACTTTGAGTCCCTTCCAACCTGAGGGATTCATCTTCCAGCACTATATCAAACAATGTTTACTATGATTCATAAGGTTTTCAGTGGCTAATGCCTTAGAAGTGGACCACCTATTCTTTCTCCCTACTCTAGTCTTACTATGGAAGCCGTGTGGAAACTTGTCCGCCCTGGGTGGCCCTGGTGGTATTTGAAACACTAGTGCCAAAGCTTCCAACATCACAGCAATGCTCATGCCAACATAGTAGGACAAATGGACAGAATGCTCCTCAGCACTAAAAGAGAGTGAATTACTGATGCCACAACATGGGTGAAGCTCAAAAACTGCACAAGAGATGCAGATGGCTTCATGTACTTCGTGTAATCCAGGAGCAAGGAAGGTAAGCTATAGAGATAAAAAGCAGATCAATGGTGGGCAGAGACTGACTGGAAGGAGGCGCTCACAGGGGAACTGGGGGGTTTGGGAAATGCTCTATATCTTGTTTTTGGTGGTCGTTACATGAGTACATACAACTGGTAAAATAAAAATATCAATTTGAACACATGAGACTTGTGCTTTTTGTTGTATGGAAATGAAACCTTAAGTGTTATAGCTTTACTTTGAAAAAGAAAATGCAAATGGCCATTTAAATTTTGGAATAAAATAATCAATGTTTGCTAGGTTTTCTCACGAGATTTCAAGCTTTAAGTGGGCAGAAACCATGTCTGTTTCATTCTCTACTATATCTCCAGCACCCAGTACAGTGCTTGGCACCCTCTGAGTGCCCCAGACACATTTGTTCGTTTCCTAAGTTTTTAAAAGCCTTCTTCATTCATCGAGCTGTGTCCTTCTCATCTCTCCCTTTGTAGACATGACCTGTTCTTGGCACACTCTGGTGGCCCCAGAAGCTCAGGCACAGGTGCTTTGTCTAGGAAGGGAGCTTGCAGGTGGAAACTCAGCAGGGCCCTGGGTGTCCTTGGGCACTGACAGGGTCCCAACTGTGAACACCATCTGCTCTTGTGAAAGGTGTCTGACAGCAGCTGCAGTCCGGGACCTGGAAGGTGAGTGCCTCTGAAAATGAATGTCAGGCTCCTGTTCTCATCTTCCTTGCCTGTAGGGAGCCCACAGAAAGTCACTTTAACCCTGGAAATAGAAAGAACCAACATGTGTACCACTTTGTAATTTACTGACTGTTTTCTTCTATCTTATTTTATCCTCACAATCATTCTGTGAGGTAGATCTTTGTTAACCGTATTGTACAGAGAGGTTAAGTGACTTCCTCAAGGTCACACAGAGCTGGAGTTCAACTTTTAACCATTTGTTGTTGTTGTTAAGTGGCATCGAATGGATTCCAACTGATAGCGACCCTATATAAGGTTTCCGAGGAGTGGCTGAGTGAGTTTAAACCAATGACCTTGTAGTTCAAACCGACCTGTGGTCCAGTGCTTACCCTACAGAGCCACCTCAGGACTCCAGTTTAACCATTTACTACTATTTTAAATGCAATCCTGCTGTGTCATTTAGGGACCTTTGGAAGCAGTTTCTGAAATCTTAGCTCATCCAGCAAGCTTTACTGAACTAATGGAAAGATAAGTAGTAAATCCCATGGCCTTTAATCCAATTTCTCCCATATGCCCTTGAGAGATTGACTTGCTTAGACCACCAATATGATAGTATCACTCCCCTATGCAAATTTTCCACGGTCCTCCTACTTACCAGGTAAAATCCATATTCCTTAGCTGCTGCTCAATGCGCTCCTATTGCAGCCTCATCTTCCTTCAAAGAAAAAAACCCAAACCACCCTTGCAGTCTAGCTAATTATATTACTATCGTCCTGTCTACAACTTTGCTCCCCAACTTCCCCTACATATGAAATCCTCTATTTTCCCTTGGGAAACTTGCACTTCAACTTCGAACTCAAATGCCACTCCTACTTCCTACTCCTAGATTTTTTACTTCATCTGAACCTTTTAGAGAGCTTGGTTTGTACCTTTAATAAGGTATTAACTGTCTGATTTGATGGGTATGGTCCTGGGTAGAAAGAAAACAAACTAACAAACAACAACAACCCGGCTAAGTGCTTGACTTCTAGCCAAAAGCTTTGCTGCTTGACCCCACTTAGCACACTGGAAGACAAGCCTGGCGATCTGCTCGTGAAAGGTCTCAACCTTGAAAACTCTACTGTACATAGTTCTACCTTGCCACACATGGGGTCAATTCCATGAGTTGGAATTGATTCAACAACTTTGTGTCTATTGGTACCTCGCTTTTTCTTTCTTGTTAGGTCCAGAGGTTCTAGTTGAATCGTACCTGCTGTTTGTATTGCCAGCCGTACCCTACCCATCTGTTCCCAACATGGGGCAGGGACATTTCATCTGTGACTGTTATGAGGAGGGGAAACACTTGTCCATGGAACTTCAGAGAGTAGACTTCGTATCAGTGTATAGAAGTTACAGGGATCAGCCCTTCTAGAAATATCTGTCGGAGCTGTTTGATCACGAAAAGGCCCCCAAAACCGCTGAGGCAAGATCAGCTATCATGCGTTGTTGTTATGTACAGTGGAGTCGTTCCGACTCATAGGTGACCCTGCACAGGGTTTCCGAGGCTGTAAATCTTTACGGGAGTAGAAAGCCTCATTTTTCTCCCGCGGAACGGCTGGTGGTTTTGAACTGATGACCTTGAGGTTCACTGCCCGATTCGTAACCACTATGCTACCACAGCTGCTTAGCTATCATGTAAAAGGGTCAAAATGACACTCCGGTATAAGCTGCTTCCTCTATGAAGGGGTTTCAAAAAGTCCGTGAAAAACAGAATCAAACCATGATTCTGATAAAATAATGTAATTTATCCAGGAACTTTTGAAGCCCCCTTCTCATAAGAACACGTCCAAAGTTAAGGCTGATCACAGAGGTAGCAGAGCCCACCTCCAACAATGCAAGAGTCCTCTGGAGGAAGTGCTCCCCCATTGGCTTCCACTTGAGACCGAGGAGAGTCAGTTCGCTTTCTGATTGGCTAACCTTACCGATTGGCAGCCTTCCATTTTCCTTCCCCTGAGCAAACTGCGCATTCTCGACGGCCAGACATGGCAGAAGCGAGAAAAGAGCTGGCCGGCGGCGGCCTTCCAGAAGTTGAATCCACGCAGTGGCCTCTGCAGCGGTATGGCCGCTTCATGCCTTCGGGCACAGGCGACTCTCCTATGCCCGGCCTGGAAGCTGGGAAAACCGCTTCTCCGACATGGAAGGTGAGACTGAGGGCAGTAATGACTAAGGTGCACGCAGGCCCCAGGGCTGGTGTGAAGACCTCAGTGGCCACACTAGGCCAGGCCTCCTGAGTGCTGCTCCTAGGACAGCAGGAGAGGACACTGAGGGAATGACAGACACGTTGAGGGCCTTACTGATCTAGACTCTGACCGGGATGTAGACACACAGGCTGAATGGGAATTTGTAGGCCGGACAGACAGCTATTGACGGTGAGCTACCCCGCCCCATGTGGAGGCCGGCTGGGTATCGTGGACTGTTGTTAAGTGCCTTCGAGTCGGTTCCGACCCTGTATAAAGTTTCGTAGGAGTTTCGCCGACGTGCATTTCAAACCGACCGTGTGGTCCTAGTGCTCATCCTACAGCGCCGCTACTTTCACACAAACTCTATTCCTTCACCATCTTTCCAACTGAAGAGCTGACCAATCAGCCAAAACCAACACGGCAATATCTGTTTCTCTGGAGACTTTTCTTCCTCTTGGTGACCCCTATCACCTCTTGGAAGCAAATCGCTAGGCTTTTCTTTTGAGTCACCTCTGGATGGGTTTGGGTTAGTAGATGGGTGCTTAATCCTTGTGCCAGTTAGGGACCCCAGCTGATTAAAGCTTGATTCAAATGGAAGGACAAACCAACAGGCATGGTAGCTGACCCACAACACGGCCTCCAGTTACTGCTGAGCGTTCTGAGGACTGTCCCTCAGGTCCCAGGACAAAGAGCATGTTGGTGGGGCAGTCCCCAGAAAGGTCAAGAGGCTGGGTGAGGGTGGGCCAGGAGACAGATTTGGCACATTGCACGGAATGATATGACTATCCAGTCTTATAAAAGTGCATTTAAATGTATTATACACATGAAGGGGAATATAAAACTTACTTTGTTTTCCTCTTTTAGTTTTATTTTTAACTCCCCACTAATGGTTCTGCTCCGGTAAAGATTTACAGCCTCGGAACCCCTGTACAGGGTCACTATGAGTCGGAACAGACTCCATGGCACATATCAACAACAGCAAAGGTCATAAGAAGTCCTCGTGTGGCGCTGCAGGATCATGCACTGGACTGCAAGGTTGGAATCACAAGGTTAGCATTTGCTCCTCAGAAACCCTGTACACGATTCTCCATGAGTAGGAACCAACTTGTGGCACTTAACAACAACAACATTGGTTCTCACTTGCACCTATCTCCTATCTTTGAAGGACTGGAGAAAGGTACCAAGAGTGAAGTGGGTACTTAATCCTTATGTTGAACCATCTATTCCACAGTGTTTCGGATTTTTTTTTTTTGACTGTACAGAGACCCAGAGAGACTTCACTTTAATTACAGAATTATCCATAAACAAGGTAGAAGGGAGAAAGTGAAGCTCTAAGTAAATAAGGATTTTGTGCTTAGAACCTAAGAGGCTTATAACTCCTTAAAGTATTCCCTACGTGAAAATTCTAAAACATTTTCAGACTTCTTACAACCGTTTCATATACATGTCCTTCCATCCCTCAAGATACACACATGGACAACCTCAACTCCAGCCTTGTTGATGAGGTTGGATGGCAGCCCGTTCATTTCCCTCATCAGTGTCTCAGAGGATCCCATCTCTCCCTAGTCTGTCATAGCCTGAAGTGTGATATTCTGAAAGTACTTTCATGATTACATTCATTGGAGGGAAAGTAAATTAAGCAGGTTTCTTTAAAATTTTTATTCTTTATTATGTTAAGGTGTATTATAAATTACCAAAATGAGGGCAGAAGATATAACATTCCCTCCACCCCCAGAGTTGACCATCAAATCCACTTTGGAGGAAACCCCTAATGTGCCATGGAATTCCTTTTGAGAAATACCTCCTGTACTCTATTCTCTTTTTGTCCTAAAGGGCTCCCGTACATAGTTTATCGACTTAGGGTTAAAAAAAGATAACATAAAATTTTCGGTTACAAACATTAAGCCTACAATTAATTCCCCATCATCTACCTCCAGCCCCAGTTATTTAACATCTAGTCACATTTTTGTTTCTGTGACTTTTCCTGGCAAATGGTTAAGCACTGGACTACTTATTAAAAGGTTGGTGGCTCAGACCTATCAGAAGCATCTCAAAAGTAAGGCCTGCAGTCAGTCTGTTTTGAAAGATCACATCCTTGACAAGCCAATGGCGAGCAGTCCTGCTCCGTATGTGGAGTCACCAGAAGTGCTTATCCACTGGATGAGAACTAACAACAACATGCATCTGTCAAGAGAGTTCACTATAAGTGGAATTGTATAATTTGTGGGGTTTGTTTGTTTGTTTGTTTGTTTTTGTCTCTGGCTTTTTTCCCTTGGCACAGTGTTTTAAAGCATTTTATGCCATGTGTCAGAGTTTCATGTCTTTTTACGGCTAAATAATATTGCACTGTATAGATATACCACAGTTTGGTTTTTCATTCATCTGTTAATATGCACTTTTGGTTTCTGAACATTGGTGTACACATATCTGCCTTTGTTTGAAAGCCTCTGCTTTCAATACTTTTGACTGTATATCCAAGAGTGGAATTGTTGGGTCATAAGGTCATTCTATACAGGGTCGCTATGAGTCGGAATCAACTCGATGGTACTTAACAACAACAACAAGGTTATTCTATGTTTAACTTTCTGAGGAACTACAAAGCTGTTTTCTACAATGACTGTACTATTTTACATTCCCAACAACAGTGCATGAGGACTGATCCTTAAGAATTAGGTTCCCATTCAACAATTTTTACATCAATTGTTCAGTGACATTGATTACATTTTTCACAATGGGTGAATGTTTTCGTTATTTCTGTCCAGTTGTTTCCATTAATCTAGTTTCCCTGCCCACTTACATTTTCAGCTTTGTTTTAAAATAATTGTAGACCAATTGGGAAAGCTTACTTTAGATGATTTTATTTTTTGAGTTTTGCAATTTCTATTTGATACCAGATCTTTGTGACACATCTTTGTTTCCATTTTTCTGCCAAGTTTTTCAAGCTTGTCCCATGCCAACTTCAACATAGTAAGCATAGTAGTTATTTAGTTGGTGGTTGATGATTTTATCGTATAGTGTTCCTTCCCACCCGTCATCTGTCACTTTGTCATTGTGTGGTGGCTTGCATATTCCTGTGATGCTAGAAGCTATGTGACCGGAATTTTAAATACCAGCAGGGTGACCCATGGTGGACAGATATTTCAGTAAAGCTTCCAAAGTAATGCAGACTAGGAAGAAGGAGAGGTGGACCACTTCTGAAGGGCTAACCACTGGAAACTTTATGAATAACCATGAGCACTGTCAGATACAGTGCCAGAGAATAAACCTTTCAGGTTGGAAGCCACTCAAAATATAACTAGGGAAGATCAGCCTCTTCACAGTAAAGTTGGCCTTAATGACATGGACCTCATTTGCTGATGGGGCACAACTCAAAATAAAAAGTGGCAGATGTTCACTAATAATCAGAATGTGGAATGTACAAACTATGAATCTAGGAAAACAAAGTTGTCAAAAATGAAATGGAACACATAAAGATTGATATCCTATGCATTAGTGTGCTGAAATGGACTGGTATTTTAAATCTGACAGTCATGATTTACTACTGGTGGAAACAGCAAATTGAAGAGAAATGCCATTGCATTCATTGTCAATAAGAACATTTCAAGATCTAGCTTGAAGTATAATGCAATCTGTGATAGGATAATATCCATATACCAAAAAGAATTGATGCTTTTGAGTTATGGTATTGGAGGAGAATATAGAAAGTACCATGAGCTGCTGAAAGAACAAACAGATCTGTGTTGGAGGAAGTGCAGCCAGAGTGCTCCTTGGAGGCCAGGATGGCCATACTTCGCCTCACATACTTCAGACATATTGTCAGGAGGGACCAGTCACTGGAGAAGGATATTATGTTTGGTAAAGTGGAGGGTCAGAGAAAAAGAGAAAGATGCCGAGTGAGATGGATTGGCAATATGGCACCATCAATGGGCTCAAGCGTGGCAACAATTGTAAGGTTGGCCCAGGACTAGGCAGTGTTTTGTTCTGTTGTGCATAGGCTCGTTGTGAGTCGGTACTGACTCAATGGCACCTAACAACAACAACATAAGAATGACCAGTTACTACCATTATTACTCAGATTTGCACACTAACAACCAAAGTCAAATATGAAGAATTTTACCAACTTCTGTCTGAAATTGATCAAGCATACAATCAAGATTCATTGATCATTGCTGGTGATTGGAATGCAAATGTTGGAAACAGAGGAAGGATCTATAGTTGGAAAATATGGCCCTGGTGATAAAAATGATGCTGGATAGCTCATGAATAGCATTTTTCAAGACCAACGACTTGTTCATTGCAAACACCTTTTTCAACAGCAATAAATGTTGAAAAAGGACCTTACCAGATGGATAAACATGAACCAAATTGACTAATTCTTTGTAACGAGACAATGGAGAAGCTCAATATTATCAGCCAAAATAAGGCTGGGGCAGACTGTGGAACAGGCCATCAATTGCTCATATGCAAGTTCAGGCTGAAGCTGAAGAAAATGAAAACAAGTCCACAAGAGCCAAAACATGACTTTGAGTATATTTAGAGATCATCTCAAGAACAGATTTGTTGCATTAGATACTAATGATCAAAGATCAGAAGAGTTGTGCAGTGACATCAAAAACATCATATATGAAGAAAGCAAAAGGTCATTCAGAATTCAGGAAGAAAAAGAAAATGGCAAAGTGGATGTCAGAAGACACTCTGAAACTTGCTAGGAACATAAAGAAGCTAAAGCAGCTTGAAATGATGAAGTAAAAGAGCTGAATTGAAAATTTCAAATGGCAGCTGAAGAAGACAAAGTCATATATGATGAAGTGTACAAAGATTTGGAGTTACTAAACCAAAAAGGAAGAACTGAAGAAAAAATTCAGGTCTTGGGTTGTAATATTGAAGGATTCTATGGGCAGGATTGAATGATGCAGGAAGCATTTAAAAAAAGAAAGAAAGACAATATAGAGTCACTCTAC